GTAGTTCCTTGAAAAAGCTACCTTCTACTTCTAGTATGGAAGTGTGTGAAAACTAGGCTTGCAATGGTAACTGAATCATAAGAACTGCCCAAATACACAGGAAAACTCTTCCCTTTCAGGCTTTCCAGCTCCAACACAATATTCCCAAGATGGGAGACTCTCAAGGCCCCTTAAGACATGCAGGAAATGGCTCAAATGCTCCTCCTCTCCCACAGCTCCTTCCACACAGAAATATGAACTCAGTGAGTGTAAACTTTACTGTAATTGATCCTTGCTTACCAAGATATATTAGCGATGTGGTATTTTCAATATGACAAATAATTTTCACAGTATCTTTCAATGAAAGCCCATTCCTAGCCTTTGGAAGTGCATATAATTAATAATTTCAATATTATAATTAGTACTGGTTGTCATGGCATTTGAAAAAGGATCCTACAGCTACCACCTCTCAATCTGTTTCAGTGACCTACTAACCCAAATACCTATATGAATGGGCTGATGGAAATGGTGACATGATTACTATGATGTCAAGAGTCTTTTCAAGGTAATTGAATGAAAAAAACAGAATAAACCTCTTTCTAAAGACAAATTGGTGCTCCAGTGGTAAATTATTCAGGTTCCTACAGCAGGAGCATAATGCACACAAATCAGTCAAAGTAGCCTCTTTCTTTTCTATAAATGTCAGTTAGTATTTCTAATTAACTATCTGCCCTTACATCAGAGAAATTAACTGGCTTTTCCATGAAGAGCTATCATTGAGAATATCCAAGTTATGTTTCTAAAAGGACACCACTCTTACTCCAACTTCTCATTTCTGGCTCTGGAACTCACTTCACCTTCAGTTTAAAGGCCAGTAAATCAAATTACCCTTGTTCTGATGAACCTGAACTTTGGGATGACAACTCAGCCTAAACATATCTAAAGAAATGAAACGCCAAAACCCACAAGGAATAAATTAATAGAAGTGATGGCAGAAGTGACTGGTAGCAGACAGTGAAAATGGCAATAACCAAGAAGAACACACTAAGCATGCAGTAAGTTTTTATCATGTCTCTTGCCCCTTAAGGCCATTTAGTTTTTTAAAATTTGGAAAAGGAAAAAAGAAGCACATACCTTGGTTTCACAATGAACATAGATGAAAGAGGGAAGAAGAAAACTACTAGAAATCCATTGTCTCAATGAAAGCAAGGATTTTTGAGTTCTGTCATTTCACTCCGAAATCCTCCCACCCTGACCAAACCTTGACCACTATTTGGTCAATGAAAAACGCGAATTCTTTGAAAAATTTCCTCCTGAACCTCCAGAGTGCCTGATATTCTTTTAATACATGGACACACAGGAGCTGGCAACCCCACAGCACTGCAACCCTTAGGCCCACTCCACATTTGGGATGTTGTGAGGACAAGCACACAGCATGGATAAAGAGGTCCTATAAGTGGACATAACTTATAAGGACAGAAAGATATTCTTACTAATTTTAGTTCCAATCCTAAGTGAAGCTGTAAAAACAAAAGCAAAAGTGTAAGAAAGCTAGAGGGCAAAAACATCAATATCTGACACTTCTGCCAATACTCAAAGATAAACTTTGGGAATGAAGACCAATCTATGTCAATTAAATGAAGCTCTGTGTAACTAAATTTTACAACCTAAAAAGAAAAAAAAATCTCTTTTCTTTATAGTGAAAAGCAGACCCCAAACTACAAGAAATCAGGAGTGTATTTGTATACCATGTGAGCAGCTGGGTATCCCACTGAAGATGGAAGCACTTTGCACTTAAACACAACAAACAGAACAGTTGTTAAAAAATTGGTACAAATTATATGCCCTAATTTCCCCCAGTATGTGAAGTATGTCACAGCATCACTTACCAATTCACATGCAGCTACCTTTCTGAAGAATTTATGCCACTAAAACAAGCTGTTGTGCCTTTTCCTATGGAGTTTTTCCTTTATGCCAATGACACTTTGTGGAGAAGTTCTGAATTGCATTTAGTCAAAAAAGCTAAAACTTGTTTGTGCACTGCACTCCACATCAGCTACTTCCACTGAAAACAATCAGGCTACTCATGTACAAAGCAAAGCTTCTGCATAATCTTTCCTAAGTGTGGGCCTAAGAAGGAAAAGTTAGGCAGGTTGCTTATACAGCCCACATGCATGAATACGGATTTTGTGCTCCCTGGGTAGCACACAGTAGCCTCATTAAAAAGGAGAGGAAAAGAAAATAATTATAAACCACACAGAACAGGCTTAAATTGTTTTGAGACATTAGGCAAAAATATTTTGGTAGATCACTCACTGTGCCTTACTCTATACTTAAAATATTTCATAAAATACCATGGGTTTACATGTGTATATATATATATATATAAAATATATAAATTTAAATATATATATATGCAAAATACTTTTTACAAATAAGTAATTCTCTTTAGTACCTCCAAATGCACAAGTAACCTGTTACTACAATCAGAGCTCAAGAGAAAAAAACAAATGCAATACAAATTCTTGCTCTAGCTGAAACCCAAGGCAAAACCCCTAATAACTCTGGAAGATACTAAATAAATCCATGAAAGCTTCACAAAAGCATCAGTAGAATTATGATTTCATTTCTTTTTTTTTTTTTTTTAATGTGGAGAGAAAACCCTTTCAAGTTTCAGAAGTTTAAAGACCACTACTATATCCCCCTTAAACACAACTTGGGAAAAGTGAGGGTGAAATGGTGATGGAAGTTTCCCTCCCAGTTTAATTCACCAAAGATCAGCTGAACTAAACTACAAAGAATTGCTTTTGAAATTTTCACTGTGTGCACCATTCTTCAATAAGACACCTCACATAAACACAGAAGATGGCAGCAGAACTCTGAGAAAAATATTTATTAATTAAAAGGTACAGAAAATATAGGAGGGAAAATCATGCAGAATTACTTTGCACATAAGTATATGTGCAAAGTATACATGTATACATGTTTTATTCTCCATTTTAAATTCTTAGTGAATGAGTTGCAAATTCCACCAAGTATTTAAAAGACCCAAAAACCTTTACTGTTTTGTAACAGCCTAGAGATTCAAGGCCTAATAATGACTGACACTGTCCTTTCTAATCTGAATCTTTAACAGAATGGCAATTAACAGATCAGTACTTCAAAATCAGGTAGACACTTGATATAATCTTACAAAGAAATACAATGAAACAGGAAAACAAAACTGTCTCCTGAAATACAAGAGGAAAATGTTTGGGTTCTTTTTAAGCAAGGATTGGTGTATGATAAAATATTTCCTGTGTCCTAGGTTCAGACACATTATGTCACCCACCCTTGATCTAAAACTGGCTTCTGTGACTCCACCACCCACCTGCAAGTTTGCAATGATACTTACTTGTCTTCATGGTACCAAACACTGCAGTTGCTCTTACACTTTTATTAATGGTTTCAAAATCCAACAATACTGCAAAATAGCAAAAAACACCTGCAAAGTGTAAATCTGCATTGAAAATTCTGTTAAACAAATAATCTTAAATTCACCAGTCACTAATCTCATCTTCTGGGATTCCTGAGTGTAAGTTCAGGTAATAATGTGGGATCCCATAAGAATCTGTTCCCACAGGTATGAATGCAGAATTGGGGTCCCAGTTTCCTTTCACACAGTGTGCTGGTCCTGGAAAAACTCCTTTGTGAAATCCCAGCCCTGAAATTGGGATGTCATCCCTTACACACACAGAAGTACCCCCAAGTACAACAAAGTAGTGTCGATATAGTAACATTTGGAAAGCATTTTAATGAACACAGGTGTAAGATATGGGGTACAGGAGGGGATGACAGTTCCCTGTTGCCAGCTGGGAACTCCATGAGTTACATCAGTGAGATACCTGGTACCTTTTGCAACAGAGGAATTACTTAATTACATAATACACAGGAATTACTGCGCACACAACAGTCATCCTACCTGTAGCTCCAAGGAAACACACACACACAGTGAATTGGTGGGATTACGTTTTTTTTTTTTCTTTTCAACTAAATGAAATAGTTTCACTGCTAACAGTCTTTTGAGAAGCTGAACATACAGATGGCAGTTTTACACATCAATCCAAGGATATCCAGGTGCCAACCCGTGTAAGAACAATCACTGCAAATGGATAGAGCTTAAAAAAACCCAGATGGATTAAAAAGAAACATTAAAAAAGTATATTCAAATATTATTTGATTCCCTTCCCAGATGTGTTTGGCTTCCCCCATTATTTCAAATGCAGGTATCCTCCACTTTTTTCACTTGGTCTTAGGAAAACAATATAAAACAAGCAATATCAAGAAGCAATATACGCTCCTAAACACATCGCTTCCACTTACAGAAAGACTTTATTCTGGGGATAAGATATAGAAGTCTGAAGTTAAATTACAACCCTTTTGTAGAGAGAAGGAAAGGAAACAAACAACTTGGAAGAGGATATTCCTCCCTTCCACACAAACACGCTGCTGTTTGGAATGGGGTGGGAAGAGTTTTACCGTCATCACAACAGTCATAGGCTAAGGCAACCATTGAGTTTAGTGTTGATGCTGGAATGGAAACACCTCTGTTCAGCACTAATCTGTAGCACCAGCAAGTGATTCACTACAAACACTGTGACAAATCATGTGGACTGGTGAGTTTTGTATCCTCCCTGGCATTTGCCTCTTCCAAGTGAGCTGCCTCACAGCTGTCCCAGGGCCTGGGTGGATGCAGAGGGTAGGAACGAGCGAAGTGGATGAAAAAGCTTTATTTTATTAATTAAAAACTGAAACTCTCTAAGTTAAAGGAGACATTTTGTTCACGCACCTTGAGAGAAGAGGGCACACGCTCCCCGTTTCTGACAAACAAAAAAAGAAGGAAAGCGAGAGCGGAGGCTTCAGAGGGGGGGCTTCACACCCACCAGCCCGGACCTCCCCACAAAGAACAAGCAGCACAGCAACGAGAAGAAAGAGAAAAGCAGCGAGAGGCCACGTCTGTGTGGCGGCGGCTTGAAATTTACCTGGAAATCAGCCAATATCATTTCTCGGTCCATGTTGGACGCCATTGCAGCCAGCTGCGTCCCGGCTCTGCTCGGACCCGCGCACCTGGAGCCGC